GGTCTCGGGCAGATCGTGGAGCATCTTCCCTCCGGTTCGCTGTTTTGCCGTGACAGGACCCGGCGGGGCCGGGGGCCCCTCTGAGACCGGCGGAGGCACTCTGGAAGGGATCCGCTGGCGCGGCGGCGCGTTAGCCCCACGCGAAACGAGCTTTGCCAGCGCCGGGGGGTGGCCCTGCCGCAGCCGGGCCGCTGTCCCCGCGCTGGGCAGGCTCAGGCCGGGGTTTGGGGTCGGTCTGCTCGAGGGACAGTCGGGTTAGTGCTGGGAAGGGCCACAGGCAGCTTCACCTCTCTTAATTCTTCTCCGAAGATGTATGAAGCAAGACTTCTGAACCTAATTTTCAGAGTTTATTTAGTTTCGCAGGGCTCTCCCGGAAAATTGGAGCCAGATTTTCAAAAGTATTCAGGCATCTAAACTCTATTAAGAGTCTATAAAGCCGCTCGGTGTCTGGTTCCAGGCGGAGCAGCGAGCAGGAGGCATCACACAGCCACAGCTCTTTCCACCTTTTCACATTCCATCGTCTTCCTCCTTCCCGACAACATGCACTGTTTTCACCTGGGTTTTTTTCCACTAACATTTCTCCATGATTTTTGTCTTCTTTTTGCCCCGTCTGCCCCCCGTGGATCCAAGGAACCACCAGACGGGTTTTTCTCCCAGGCTTTAAGGCGCTTCTGGGGCCAGTGATGCCGATCTCTGCTGCAGCAGGAGGGCGGCGGACGGCCCGCGCCCGCCGGAGCAGGGACTTGTCTCCAGGGGTTGGTGCTCGTTCCACTGCTGTCCCGGAGATCCGCGGCCTGGACGGGGCTGCCTGCACCGGCGGTGGGGCTGCGGGAGCAGCATCCCGCTTTATGACTTGAAGCGGAATGGGGAGGGCAGAACGAAGGGGTTGGGGATGTGTTTTACCCCATGAGCAGGATAGGTGCCCCCATCTCCTCCCACCCGCCCCAGGAATTATCAGGCCTGTCTGTGGCGAAAAGTGAGCCTTTGCACAGGCCCGCCTGCCTCGAGCTCACGCAGGGATGGGATTCTGCTCCCTCTCGTCACCTTAAAAAGAAAACCAAAACAAAAACCTTTGAGCCGGCCAGTTTTCTGGCTTGCTGGCACAGTAGGGCTGCTTCAGGTACAGACATGGGAGGAAGAGCAGCCCGGCTTCAGAGCACCACCTGGCACTGCGTTTTAATCCTCTTTTCGGCCGCGATGGAGTGGGACCACATCCCGCCTCTCTCCAGGAGCCCTGGGTAGAGAGCTCAGCTCCCACCAGCCTCCTGCAGCCCTGGGGGAGAGCCTCTCCCCGCTTCGGGTGTTGTGTGGAGCAGCTGCTGGGGCCGTGTCCTGTGCGCAGTAGTCCCGACCACCAGCTGGCCCCTGGTGACCACAGTGAGCCCGTGATGTGGTTGTTGACGGGGGCTGGAGAGCCCCGGCCTCTGGCTCTGGCTGGGCCACAGGAAGGAAATGTCATAGGCCAGACGAGTGCCCAGCTCTGGGGGGACCTCAGTGACGTTGGGTGAGCGTGAGGGATAGCCTGAGCGCTGCTTCTGCGCTGCAGCAGCTGTAAATTTGGGATGTGGAGGGAAGAAGAGCTTGAGCTCGTCACGTTAGTAGCAGAGCGCAGGAGTCGGCCTGCTGGTGGTTGGAAGGCAAAGTGTCCCCAAGGCCGCAGCCATTTGTGAGCTTGGTGCAACTTTGAAGGCCCCAAAGCAGCGATGTGGCACAGCCGTTTCCCCTCCCGCTCCCTGTTTCCCGCCGATGGGACTGATGGCTGCCCAGAGCGGGGCTGTGGGCAGCGGGACAGGCCTGGCAGGAGGGGAGCAACCAGAGGGGGTTGTTTTACCTGGATGAAAAGAGAGGGGGACCCCAAAAGAGAGGGAAAGCATCTATGGTGGCTCTTTGGCTTTTTCTGTTATAAACTGGTGTTAGCGTTACGTAGAGGTTGAGTCTCTTTTGTTTCTCCTGAAGGGCAGCGGGTGGCACAGGGAGGTGAGCAGGAGCCGGCCTGGATGCCAAGTGTGCAGGCAGCCAGGAGATCCCTTCTGTCCAGGCCCCACCCGCCGGACTCCCGTTATTTTAGCTGCAAAGAAGCAGGCGCAGGTTTGAACCCAAAACCACCTGCCCGGGTTTGCGGGGGCTCGGCCTGCAGGCAGCTTGCGTGGGAAGCGGGAGTGGCTGCGGGCAGGAGCCAGCCTGCCTGCAGCCTGCCTGCAGCCTGCCTTCTCCCCTGCGTGCCGGTGAGCGCGCCTGCCTCCAGCCTTTCCCCTGTGCCTTTGGGAGCAGTGGGATGTAGTTAAAAATGCATGCCTGACTTTTCCAACAGCTGTGGAATTATTTGAAGAAAAAAATGGTTATTGGCTTCCTACAGGCATCCCTTTCTGCCCGCAGCCTGGATAGCGTATGCAGCAAGCACCAGTACTTATTACCGGGTGACTGGTGGTTATTTTCTTCTAATAAATTCACTCTTCTAGACAGTAAGCTACGTAGCATCCATGCTTATGAGATTTAAATGCATTTTGACTGCAGTTAAAGTGTTTTTTGAGAACAAGACTTGACAATTTTCTTGCAACGGAACTTATAATTAGTTGGTTTTTAATTATGCATGAGGATAAATTGGAGGATGATGTCTTCTTTTCCAAGCAGAGGTTGGGTTGAGGTAACTTAGTCCTTTTGGCTACATCTGCCCCAGAAAGGGAGATTATAAGCAGGGTGAATTCACTTTCTGCACTATGTCCTGATGCCTGTAACATCTGCACAGGCACTCACGCCCAAAATTTGGGCACCTTCATCTCCGTTGAATCGGTTCAGGTACGCAGAATCAAGAGTGGCAGTGAGCAGAGTGAAGAAATACATTAACTACCCCCACATCTGTGCAAAAAAAGTGGGGGGGATGTAGGGAAAGCTTGTGAAACTATTTCTCCTTGTGGTAAAAGTGAGCCGCTCCTGGAAAGTGAAGTGTGTCAGATGAAATGTTCCTTGTTCTGCAGTGGGTGGAAAGACACCAGAGCTAAATCCTCTTAGAAGGAGCCGTGCCTGTGTGGAAGGTGGCTCCGGGCTGGCTGCGGGGGCAGCGCCGGGGGTGCAGGCAGTCCCTGGTGTTCCCGCGGCTGGAGAAGCCTGGAGGAGCTTGGTGTGTCCCCACCGGTGGGCTGGAGGGATAGAGAAACCGAAAGCAGCCCTGGGCGGTGGCGGTCGATGGCTCCTGCTGGCGCTGGGTGATACGGTGACGAGATAAGGGGTGTCTGTGCCTGCCCTCTCTGGGGCTGTTTTCCTGCCCCCCCGTGATGGAGAGGTAGGGCTGGGGGGCACGTAATGGTGCGGGGAGGCGGGTGGGACAGCAGGACTCGCCTCTGCCCAAGACTGGCGTGGTAGGCAGCCTGGGAAAGGGATGATTCCTCAGCAAAACCGCTCTCTTGGCCTTTGGAGACGCTTCCAGGATGAAGGAAGAGACCTGGAGGCCCCTCGGGAACAAGCACGTCCATCGGCCCCCGCCCTGGCTGCCCTGGGTGCAGGGCACCCGTGTGGGGCCCGCGTGGGCTCCCGTTCTCCTGGCCGGAGGAGCCGTGGGGCCATGGCCCTCCCTGACAGAGCCGCTGCCTGGGCCTGTGGAAGCCGCTGCTGTTGAAAATGGACCTTGAGGTGCTTTGCTGTCCAGGGTGGCAGGCTGCGAGCCCTTGGACGAGGCAGGTGGTGGGTTTTCTGTCAGACCGCTGGTGCTGCTGCATCTTTCGGCCGAGGAGCTGCTGAATCAGCACAGGGCGATGACTGTGTCTGGGTGAGGAGTCCCTGCTGCGAGGGGCTCTTCCTCACCATCTTTTCCTTGTATTTCTGTGGCAAGCCTAAAATGGCAGGACCCCAGCCTCATGGGCTTCTGCTTAAAATGGCTTAACAGCCACGGTGCTGCTCTGAAGGGCGAGCTGGGCCGTTTCAGACCTAGCAGGGTTGTGACGTGCTAATACGGTAACTTCACAAGCATAAATCATCCCAGGGAGTGAACGTCTGAGTGCTTCGCTTCTGCCAAGCGAGGAGCTTCGTGCTGCGCCGGATCCTGGGGAAGGAAGCGGGTTTGATGGACCTGCCTGCTCGCTTGCTGCTCCCCGCAGCCTGGCTCCGAGCAGGCAGGATCCGGGCTCGCCCGCGGGAGCAGAGGGAGGCTGGGCTCGTGTCCACATGACGAGCAGACTTGCACAGTTCTCTGGTGTGACCAGATTATACAATCTCAGTGCATAAAATAACCAAAATTTATAGCCAGGCCTTCGGAAATGATATCACTGTCAGTTGTTTTATGAATGATGCTGACTTCTTTGTTTGGCTGTACAAACTGTACTTGTGTTCTCGTTGTTTGAAAAACACCTACCTTCTCAGTTGTCTGTGTTTAAAAAAAAACCCTTAGAACAAAAACATTTTGTTCCAAATTATGTGGTTTCAACAGCTTAATCCGCTTGACTGGCTAGCATTCGAACTGGGAGCTTCCCAGTTGAACTAAACTGTCATCTGAACAGTAAGTTCTTGCACTCTTACTCTTTGAATAATGGGGAAGGACTTTCCAGAGTCCAGACAACTCACTGGGTCTTCTTATTTCAGAGAAGGGCAGTGACTTGGTACCAGAATCAGACTAATTCCTGCTTGCTTTGTTTATGCAAGCTGTATTTTCAAACTAGGTGGATGCAAATCAGGTGAGAGAGAGACAGTCTGTAGTTGTCTGTGGAAAGGAGAATGGAGCCAGTGGGTTAGAGCATTAGCAGGGGACCAGGTTCCCCCTTCTCCTGTGCCCTCCTTGAACAGCCCTGCTGGTTTTTGTCTCTGACTGGGATGGTTGTGACCTTTGCTGACGCTGCTGGTGCCTCTGGGGAAGGAGACGGCTGCTCGCCGGTGCCTGGCGAGGGGCAGTGGCGGTTTTAGGGTCTGTCCCGCTGCAGAGCGGCGCGGCCCGAGGGCAGGGCTGGGGGGTAGGAGCTCCTCTCCCGTGGCCAACCCGCAGCGGTGACTCTGTGCTTCTCTTGGTGAGGGGATGTGCGAGTGAGTGGACGCCTTCAGCTTCTCTTCAGTGCCCTTCTGTGTCACGGTTGCCAGAGTCCTTCTCTTTAATGCCAAGAAGCTCCTCCCTTGCTAGTGGTTGGAAGGAATATGATGTCCAGTGAGGAGTGGAGCAGGGAGTGTAACATCCTCAACTAAAAACTAGTGTTTGTTTTTTAACTGTTCTCCATCTCTTGCTGGCTTCTTCATGGCTCACCTGTACAGCATTTTGTTATTATTAAAAAAGCTGAAACACTTCCCTGACGGTGCACTCTCGACAGAAGCGTCTCTGGAAAGCCAAGACAGCGAGCATTGCCCACTCTGAGTCAGTGTTTAAGGGCAAATATTTGTCCAGGTGCTGTGTTAGCATAATATTTCTAATGTCAGGCCAAGGGCATAAGTTCTGGTGCAGATACCCAGAGATATGAGTGGCGGTAGCGAGTTTCAGTGTTTGAGAGGGTTTGCTTTTGCCAATACAGCTGCAAGATATTGTATCCAGACTTTGGCAGCCTGTAACGAGACTCGGCACTGAACAACAGTGATCATCATTCTTAACCTTGCTATTCTGAAGTAGCAGTGTATTCCTTATTTTAACAAATAAAGGCACATGGGGAGAGACCGGAGGCAGAGGAGCAGAGCTGTGTGCTGGTGAACTTGTGGCTTGAACGTGCAAGTTACCCTCCTGAGTCAAGATGCTCAGATTTTCAGTGAGAAGCTGAAAAATCAGCTGTGCAAGTACAGCGTGAAGGAAGGAAGTTTAATAGCTCCCAGCAGGCTTGTATAATCCGTATCACAGCGCTCCTCGTGGCTTCACCAGCCTGCTGATAAAATAAACTTTGTCTGATAAAATTTCTTAGAGTAAAACCTTGTGCAAATTGCTCATGGAAACAGAGTTTTTGGTTGCCATGCCTTTTCTGGCAGGAGAGTAGGACACCTTTCCCAAATTTTGAGATGCTGTTATTTTTTTCAGTGGCAGAATTGGCTGCCTTGTCTTAAAAGTCAAGGGAAAATGTAGCATTCTTGGTATATTGAAGTTGTGTGAGGGGGTTTGCTGGTTGGTTGGTTGTTTTTAAATAAACTAACATGTTAGTTTTGTGCAGTCTTCCCAGGGAAGCAACTTTCAAACATCCTTACCCTTTGTCTCTTTCCCTCCCTGTCCTCTCGCCCTGTTTTAGGTCCGGATTGTTCTGTCTCCCGTCCTCCTTTCCCAAGCACGAGGACCCTCCTGCTGACGCTGTCACTAATGGAGTTGCTGATGGCAGAGATGCTGTGCTGGGCAAGACAGAGCCGCAGCCTGCTGCAGAAAAGCCTCCCAAGGGTAACGGTGATGAGCAAGTACCCCCCCTCCTGCCTCCCCCTCCACCTGGCAGCCTCCCTCCTTACCCCCCTTACTTTGAGGGAGCCCCCTTTCCCCGCCCGCTGTGGCTGCGGCACACCTACAACCAGTGGGTTCCTCAGCCGCCGCCACGGACTATAAAGAGGACGAGGAGGCGTTTGTCACGGAATAGAGACCCGGGAAGGCTCATCATGAGCACGATCAGGCTGCGGCCGAGGCAGGTGCTCTGTGAGAAGTGTAAAAACACTCTGAACCCCGAGGATGCCAACACAGCCAGGCAGAGTGCTAAAACCAGGAGGAAGCTGAGCATTCAGGACAAAGAGCAGAAAAAACACAGTGACTCCGACTACGTGGAGAAAAGGAACAAAAGAGAGAAGAGAGAGGATGACAAGTTTTCTGGGGAACTAGTGCATCGAACACCAGTTATAAAAATATCGTACAGTACTCCACAGGGAAAGGGCGAAGTTGTAAAAATCCCGTCCCGGGTTCACGGCTCAGTCAAACCGTTTTGTCCAGAGCGAATATTACAGAACGGAGGGGAGGACCAAGAGGAGACCAGAGACTCTGAACGCTGTCGAGAAACCAAATGTTTAATGGACAAGTCAGCAGGCAGCCAGCTTGCTTCCATTCCAAAACTGAAGCTCACGCGGCCGGTGCATTCCAGTGCGGATGTCCCACCCCCAAAGATACGGCTGAAGCCCCATCGCATAAATGATGGTCAGAGTGTTTCAATTTATAAGGCAGAACTGATTGATGAAATCAGCGTCCTTCAGAACAGCAGGGAGTCCAACCCAGGCGCGTTTTACAATGATGAATCCACAGACAGAAATTTAGCTGAGATATCTTCAGGGAGTTCAGGTGAAGACGATGATTTTAAAAGATTTCCCCAGGGTAAAGATGGACATGATAACTTGGCTTTCCTTATGAATTATCGTAAAAGAAAAGCAGATTCTTCTAGTTTATCAGTGTGTAGTAATGACAGTCTAGACGAATCCAAGTCTTCTAGTTCAGAAGTGACATCACCAGAAATGTGTGACTTTTTGCCTGGTGATGATGCATCCGTCTCTTCATCTTCAAAAGATGAGCGTAAAATTGTGCCGCCACTGACAGTCAGACTGCACACCCAGAGCGTGTCCAAATGCGTCACAGAAGATGGAAGAACTGTTTCAGTGGGGGATATTGTTTGGGGTAAGATTCATGGGTTTCCATGGTGGCCAGCTCGTGTTCTTGACATAAACCTTAGCCAGAAGGAAAACGGGGAACCTTCATGGCGAGAAGCTAAAGTATCGTGGTTTGGTTCTCCAACGACTTCATTCTTATCTGTTTCAAAACTCTCTCCTTTCTCTGAGTTTTTCAAACTGAGATTTAATCGCAAGAAGAAAGGGATGTATCGGAAAGCTATCACGGAAGCTGCAAAGGCAGTAGAGCATCTGACTCCAGAAATAAGAGATCTCTTAACACAGTTTGAGACATAACTTTGCCTCCAGTATCAGGTGAGTGCTTGCTGGACTAACGCTTCCCATGAAAAACCTCCTTGTGCTTTTTAATCTACATTCCGCTGTGTGTTTGCATTTGCTTCTCCATGAAAACCGAGGTTGATGGGTGTTAAACTTAAATGCCTCGCTGTTAGTGGCTGGCGGTGATTTCAGAGGTGAGAGGAACCTTTAGTTCCAAACCTCTGGGGGGGACCATGGGAATAGGAGCCCCCGCTCGCGGGGGGAGTACAAAGCAGATGTGAGGGAGCAAGTGTCGCTTGTTCAGAGAGCTGATAAAATTGTAGCACTGTGTTAGGCCGTTTATTGTAGAATGTGGTGAGTGCTGAGGATACTCTGTGTCAAAACTAATCCTGTGTGGCTGGAGGACTAAATAGGTCCTTGGCTTTCTTTGAAACGTTTTTTGGTTCAGAGAATAAAAGTCTTCTTGGAACTGAGATTATATTTATCGTATCTAGGTTCAGATGCCCAGCAGTTCCCCATAACAGTTGAGGGCCCTTGGAGGGCCTTTGCTCTCCTGCAGTTTCTCTGACCCCTCTGGCGTCGATTTCTGGATTTTTTTATGAAAGCACTTTCTTTATGGATCTTCAAGACAATTGTACCAAAAACTGTCTTTAACTGGGGAACAATTTTTCAATATTTCTCGTAGCAGTTGTGGCTGAAATCTGGGTGTATTGCTGGGGAATGGCCCAGGTCATCACATTAAGTTCTTCTGGGCTTCACTTGCAATCTCTTTGTCTGAGGAGGTGGGGGTGGGACATGAGGTGGGAACATAAACGTGGGAGATGACTCATTGCTTCCACGTTTTGCTTTTACTGGTTGCAAGCATGGAGGATGGGACTCCCTTTCTCATCAAACAGTCAAAACTTTGCCCAGGCGCCTAAAAATACAGGATGTGGTGTGTCTGGAATAGAAACACCGTCTGTTACAGTTGATGCTGCCTCGGACACTGCCCTCCGTGAAGTCCATGGGAAAAATCCAGCAACTCGAATAAGATCTAGAATTGTTTCACAACCTCCCAGTCACCACTATCTAGACAAGACTTCATCTGTGATGCGATTAAACAAGGGGAGGGATTAACTTTCTGACTGAAAACCGTAACTAATCATTATGGAGAGTCTTCTTGTTGAAGGTCTTGCTTTATACAGTGTGATTCATTATGTCGCCCCCTAAGTTTTTCTGCTCTTTTTCACACCAAGGACTGTGTGTCTGCCAGCCAGTACTACTCCTGCTCGAGACTCTGTGCTTCTCTGTCTGAGCTGTTGTGGTGAGTGGGACTGTGGGGGTCAGTCCTGTGTCATCCTGAGGGGATGTACCCTCTGTCATGATGGCACTTCACCACCTTCTTGAGGGTGATGAAGGACTTCCTTTGCTTGAGTTGTTACTCCGTCTTGGCAAGCCTGGCTGGAGTAAGTAATCAGAGGGTGGCATATTCATCCTGTGTGCCCAAGGTGTCCGGATGACTGGGCACTCGAGGGAGTGAAAATGTAGAACTGCAGCAGCAGCATTTAAGCTTCATCCTTGATTTTGCCCCTTCAAATGCTGCTTAACTCTGGCTAAAGACTTGATTCTATCAGGAGTGTTTGGATTGGACCCAAAGTCCTATTAGCTGGGTCTGGAGTGTAAATAAACCTGATGCCCAGTATACGCTGTCCTCGCTGGGGAAGGAGCCGTGCTCAGAATCTGTCGCCCCCGTCCCGACAGTCTGTGTGTAAGGAGCAGCAGGGCTGGCTCGGCCGCGGGCTGGCCGCGGCGGTCAGGCTGTGTGACGCAGGGGAGCTGGGGGCCACGAGCAGCTCAGAGGCCAGGCCTGGAACCCGAGAGGGGAGGATGTCTGCCTAGTCCCGTCTCAGCCGAAGGAAGGCGCTGCCTGTGTCACCAGTGAGGGCACTGCGGGTGTGCTGGTGGTAGCGCTGGGGGCAAGGCCTCCGGGAGGAAAGGAAGCACTTGCTCTGGAGGAGACCTGCGCTGTTGCAGGGACAGCGGGCACCTGAGCAGAAGGGCTGGACCAGGTCTGTAAGCTGGGGGAAAGAAGAACATGTTGAGAGTGAGAAGGAAATGGTGGATGTCCTGGATTAGACCAGACCCTCCCTTTGCACGCTTCGGCCAAGGCTCTGTGCGTGTGTATGGCTACGTAGGTACGTTTAACACATCTCGCCGTGTCATCGGCCTCCTGCAGCTGGCTTTCCACGGGTGATTTTCTGCCTTACGTGTGCCTAAGGTGAGCTGCCAGCACAGCCTGCCTGTCTGGAGATGACGTAATGTTGGATAAACAACTGCAGTTGCTCCAGACCAGAAAAGCAGAACAAAACAACTTCCCGTGTTCCACGTGTCACACTTACTTAGATTAATGATTAGACCAGCATGTCTAGTGTTTTGGTACCTCAGTTGTAAAACAGCTCGTTATTGTGGAGACTTGCCCTGTACCTAGTTCTGTTCAGGAGGACTGAATTTTACTGCTTTCCCTGAATTTTCCTAAGGTAGAACTGAAATGTTTCCATCAGTTGCTCACCAACTGCTCTTTCCTGAAGGGTGTAACTTAAGTTTTCACTGATGTTTGCAGTTGCGGAGTCCCAGGACCACGATGACACTTGAGCTGCAGTTAAATATCTGAGAGCTTTGAGGCCTTTCAGGGCAGTACAGCCTTACATCAGTTAACGCAGTTTCGAAGAGCAGGCATCTGGCTGGTCATGCTGCACGTTGCCAGTGTACAATCCGCCGTGCTGCGGCTTCACCAGCAGCTGCACGAGGGCCTGTTGTCACTAACACAGACCAGGAGCAGGAGCCCAGGAGGTGCCTTCCGTGGCTGCGCTTTGCTAATGCCACTGCTGCTAATCCTGAGCACGGCAGAAGTTTGTGGCTGTTGACACTTTCTGTTGTGAAACTTTCTGTCTCCTTACACGTGACACTATTCTGCAAAGTGTGGAGGGCAGTCACTGGAAAAAACGTACATTTCAGGTGATTTGTGGATACATACAAAACTGGAAGCAGTTGGATTTATTTTTTTTTAAGTTGGGTTGGAAAAGCTTGTATGATCACTTATGTTTTTAACATTTTGTCCTTATACTTTTTTTTGCAAAGAAAATACTTTATTAAAAGCTTATTGTTAGCTGACTAGTAAAACAAGGTTTCTGGAAAAACAACAGACAAGACTAGCAACCTGTAGAAGTCAAATTTGTAAGAACACTTGATTTAGAGTGGTACCAGGAGAAGAGTGCCCACTCAGCATCTTCTCTTGCCACTTTGCAGCTCCTGCTTGTGTGTCCCGCGTGGCCAGGTGCTGCCTGTGCTGCCCGCGCTCCGCAGGTGCCTGTGCTGGGGCTGGGTGCTGGGTGAGCTACTCTTGCCTGGTTTTAAAGCGCCGGACACTGTCCCACCTCCACTCCTCGTGCTTTTATGACCGCAGGCCTCTTGTTGGCAGAAGGTGACCAAGGCCAAGCTCGGGCAGTGCCGGGGTAATGGGCAGCATTACGTCCCCGCAGATCCTGACCTGGTAGGCCGGGCCCCCGTGCCGTGTTGGCAGCCCCGTCCCACGGGGTGGGAGCTGGGGTGAGCCCTTGCTGTGGCTGCCTGGAGGACGGTTGCCGTTCTGTTAAGGACAGCCCGTCCCAGGGCTGGGAAGTGGGAGCGAGGCCGCGGCGTCGCCTGCGGGGCGCTGAGCACGGGTCTCAGCTGGGGCAGTGGGTCCTCGTGTAGGACTTGCCCTGAGAGCCGGACCGGCGGGCTTTGGCCCTCCAGCCTCGGCCTTTTTCTTGGAAATAAGGAAATCTCTTGTGCTTTTGCGTTTTGCTTTCCGTTCACTTCCACGATAACGTCATATTTAAACTTGCAGCTGCATAAATGTCAAATTCCTTCAGCCACCCAATGGCCTTTCGCTGTCTTTCACAGGGGTGGGCACCCCAGCTTGTTTCTGGTTTTCTCAGAGCAGGTTGCTGGCGTACGCGTGTTCCACCGCCGCAGAGGTGCCATCGAAGGGCGTACGATGGTTGGGGAGGGGGGTCACCCCTGCACAGGGCAGGGACGGGCCCTTCGGGGCTGGGGGATGGAGATGAGCTCGGCTCGGTGGTGGGCTGGGGCACAGTGGGGAAGGAGACCCGTGCTCCCCACGGCCACCCTGTCCCTGCTCCAGGGAGCGCCTCGTGCAGTGGGATGGGGCTTTCCCCGGAGCCCGCGGTGCCCTGGGCCCGCTGCCTGGCAGGAGCGTTGGTCGCCCGGGGCCGCAGCAGGCTCAGCACCTCCCGCAGTGCTCAGTGCCTTCTGCTCCCTCCTCCTCCCGAGGGGCTCCTCAGGACAGATCTCCCCTCCCTGCCCACAGCCCTTTCACAGAGTAGAACCTTTTAGAAAAACTGCTTGTAGATTTTCATACACCTCTCTGCATGAGACTAGTTTACAATATGTATATTAATTTGCTTTGGAAAATCCTTTACTCTTCCTCCCTCTCTTTATCCCCCCTACCCCCAAGCTGTGGCTGTGGAACCATTAAACTTGAAAATACCGGCTTTTGGAGGTTTTCATTTTACTGCTATTAGCTTAATAGACCCTTAGTATCAGTACATTTAGCCATTCATCACAAAAAGCACGCTGCTACCATGTACAGCAGAATCAAAGCTTATTGCATACTTGCTATATATAGTAAGCTCTAACGTAAAATTTGGAACGCTGGGTTATGACTTCACCTTCAAAGATGTTCAGGGCTTTGTATGTGCATGTAGCCAGGACTGCTTGCCAGCAGTTTATGAAGCAACATAAATCACTCTTCTTTTTCCTTTTACTTCTTCTCTCCTGCTCTACCAGTGGCACAAAAAGGTTATATAACTTTATATAAAGTTGTGGTGGTTGCCGTTCTAGCTAAATTTTTAAAAACACCTGCCTGGTTATGTGAAATATTTCAGCCCAGAAGATGAATGCTTGAGATTTTTTCTGGCGTGGTTTCTAGATGGTTCAGTCAAGTAAAACCAAGCATCCAACTTAATTACTGTTTCTCAGTCTTCCTCCAAGCA